TGGTCGGTCCAGGTTGGCGAACCAACCTGACATCGTGGTTGTGGACAAAGGGCGGAGGACAGCCGTGGTGGTGGACGTGGCAATTCCAAGCGATGGTAAGATCCGGAAAAAAGAACATGAAAAGCTTGAGAAATACCAAGGGCTCAGAGAGGAGCTGGAGGGTAAAGGTGACAGTAGTGCCCGTGGTGATCGGTGCACTCGGGGCAGTGACCCCGAAGCTAGAAGAGTGGTTACAGCGGATCCCCGGAACAACCTCGGAAATCTCGGTCCAGAAATGTGCAGTGCTAGGAACAGCAAAGATACTGCGCAGAACCCTCAAGCTCCCAGGCCTCTGGTAGAGGACCCGAGCTTAGAGAGGGATAACCGCCCGCGGAGGGCCAAAGGTGAGTGGACAATTTTATATATATATATATATATACTGTATATACATATACACATATATATATATTTAGGGCTGTCAAAATTATCGCGTTAAGCACGTTAATAAATTTTTTCCATTAATCGCGTTACGTTTTTTAACGCATGCCCATGCATCCCATAATAACACTGGATGCCACGGACATGTGCGTGTGTGAGATGGTGACAGAGCAGGTAGGCCCTCTGGGAATTCAAGTTTTAAAAGAATACACACATGACCGCGGGCCACTTTTGCTGCTGTTTCGTGTATGAACTCTGCGAGCTGAGCTGCGGGCGCTCTGGACAGCGGTTCCTCCAGCGGCTGTGATCACGGCAAACGTGATCATAACCAAGACCATACACACACAGAACTATTCTCTGCTTGTAGTGTCTTTGCGTAACCGGTGCACACAAAAAATACAGCACAGAAGCTGGACAACGGAGCCTCAGTCTCCTCCGTGTCTAGCACACTCGCTAAATTAAAGCTGGGGTATCTAATTTTCCCTTCCACTACCAGTTCATGTTGGTTGTGCCCAAAAGTACTGGTGTGAGCAAAACAAAGATTTAATGACATTTTGCATTTCAGACTGTTTTGAAATGTCCCTCATCTGTAACAAACAATCTGTATTTGTTATAATAAACAAATACAGTACTGTATTTGTTATATATGCGCTTTGACTAATCAGCGCTGCTCATCAGAGCGGAGCTAAAGCGTAGAGCCCTGCACTTGAGCCCTAGGCCTGACAGCCCTACAGCCCGAGGACCGGGCTTCGGGCCGATGGCCGTATAATTACCTCGGCCACGGGCTGGGCTCGGGCCCTTTTATTTATTTATTTTCAGAGCGGCAGATTACATTTACAAACGCACCCACTGAATATAGCGTTCTATCACCCTGTGGTATTTGTTGTTCTGTATGGTATTGTCATTGACGACATGTAGCGTTACCTTCAAGAAGAAGAAGAAGGTCCTTTATTCGTCCCACAATGGGGAAATTTCAGTTTGATGCATACACATATACATATACACATCAAGGCAAGCAGCACTTCCGTGCTCCTTTTAGGCAAAGTGGGTATCATACAGCTGCGGCCATTCACTCTTGCCGTACACACAGAATTCATTGCAACATATCATTACCATGTATAACTCCACCCTCTAGCCGGGCCTGTGTTCATATCAGTGCGCTGCACTATATACTACGCTAAAACATTGTTATGGGAGAAAAATAAATAAATAAAAGAAGTTGGGCTTGATACGGGTTTGGGCCTGAGAATTCAGAAACCATGTCGGGCCAGGGCCGGACTCAGGCCCAGATAATAGGCCCGTGCAAGGCTCTACTACAGCGGGAGTTAGACCAGTAAGAAAACGAGTAGGGTGTGTTGCAGTAAAGTGTGGATTTAAAGAAAACTGAAGGATTTAAGAAGAAAAAAAGTTCAGGACGACAGGGGACACTAAAATTCCCACACAATCTGACCCTTATGAAAGCTGTAGGTTCTTTGACAGCTGAGGTTGAGCTGTTTTAGTTTACATTGAATTCTATGGGGAACATTTCTGGTTGGCCCGCGTGAATTTAGACCCTATCCAAATACCCACACTGCACCCTACACTCCTTTACGAAGTGTGCATTTGTTTGAAGTGCACGCAAGGGTTTGAGTGCGCAAGTTACAAGCGTGCAATAAAAGGCGGAATTGGGACAGAGCAGGTTACGTCTTTGACTTGTCATGAGATGGTCATTTTCAGACCTATTCTTTACCAAATTAAAGATAATTTCGTCCGATCCTGTGGGAAACAAAATTAGTTGCTCCACACACGTTAAAATACATATATATTGGTAATTTGTAATTTGAGATAGCTGTATGATTTTAAGTTAAATGTGGGTAACTAACTGTTATCTGGTCAGTTTTTATACATCCTAAGTTAATTGTACTAAGTGTAAAGTTTAAATGGAATGTTATATGAAAGCTTGGATTAAAAAAGTTATGAAATTGTTAGCATAGAATGTCCGTAATTCTTCATCAGTCATTATTGCTTCTGTCCAAGTAACAAAACAAAACATATTAACACACATACAGCATATATATTTCAAAACTTAAACTTAAATGCATTTTACCGACAATTTGGTGTGTACCGCATAGAAGTATGGGCAATATCCTTCGCCAGAGTCCGCTTAGATGCAGACTACAGCAAAGTGTGGATCAGGGGCGCAAAGGGGGCGGGGCCAAAGACCTCCCTGAAGAATTGGGACACCTATCACACCTATCATCAGGAACGCGCAAATGAGGGGCGCGAGGGTGGAAGTGCGAGTATTGGGACGGGGCCTTAGTCTGCAGTACCAAATGTGACATGTAAATGTCTCCTGTGTGATATCAATAATCTTATCTTATCTTATGTCTAAATATGCTTTTATTATACGCTTAATGTCAAAAGTTGCACTGTTCTTGGACTTAGTTGGACAAAAGCAGTTCTGATTGTGTAGAGCTAATCACTCAGTGATAAAACAGCAAGTACTAACTTAATCACATAAGTGACTATAAAAAGCCGTGTACGGGGAATGGCTGCAGTGTGGCGATGTGTTGGTGGAGGTAGTACTAATGAGCCACAGTCCCAAGGCTATTAACCCAGTCTCCTTCCAGACTCCTCTGCAGTGAACTCACAGTGCTGGCCTCTCCAACTCTTAACTATTGTTAAATGACGGTTTTTCCTTATGTGAATGTCACCTTGGTTTGTTTGAACCCCCTTCACCCCCCTTCCTTCCTTTCTGCCTTGCTTCCCCCCTCCTGATTCCATGCTTGATACACCTATTTTCAGTTGTGAAGGTGTGACATGTGTTGTTTCAGAGTGCAGAGTCTGAGGGGCTTCAGAACTATAAGCCGCTACTTTTTTGTGTTCTTTGAACCCTGCAGCTTATACAGTGATGCGTCTAATATGTATATTCTAATTACAGAGCAGAGTCCATGGATTATTATTTTGACTCCATGAAGTTTACAGGCCCACAGTTCACTTTAAGATCAGGTGGAAAAAGTATATCAAAGGTACATCAAAACATCCTTTTCAATACTTTAATCCTAACATCCTAATCAGATTATTCTTGTTGATTAATGAGTCTTGATTTTGAAGCTAAAATGTTGTTCTTTGAATCGCAGGACTTTGATGTCCCACACAGACGCATACCTTCGAGAACAGTAGTATCTCACAGTAGATCCTCTGTCTCAGATGTACAATCTTATTAGGTTGACACATCAGGGAGATCAGGAGTAATGGCACCTTTGTGGTTTTCTCTTATTTTATCTGAAGATTCCACTGCAGCCGATATCTGTCAGTGTGTCGCGGATTACAGCAGAAAAGATATCACAGAAAAAAATGTCTGGAGAATCTGATTAGGTCTTATCACATTCTTACAAAGCAACAGTGTCCTTGTGCGGCAACTATGATTGTTTGTAATTTCGTAACGTGTGAGCGGGTAGTGGATCTTTACGTATATACAGTATTAAAATGGATATTAAAACAATACTTTGTTTGATTCCAAAACTACTGCTACAACTCTACTCAATCGACTTTATGAAAACCAACTTATGTCAAAAGTCGGTTTGCATAATGTCTCTTTTAAAGGAGTATTTTATTTTTTAGGCTCAGTTCACATTCATCGATACACAAACAACACACAGTCTGATTATGGCTGACATATGGCAGAAAGCAGCATTTACAGTAAGTGGGTCCTATGATGTCAGTAGCAAATACAGTACAATATTGTCCAATGTCTTTGTACCGTGACTTCCTTCAGGAGAATGTGTGTGTTGCACTGATCTGCTCTCACAAAAACAGTCTCTGTGGCAAAGGACAAACGCCAAGCTGCAACCCACCCTGCTCCCCGTCGCAGCAGGAGACGAGGGGCAGCAGGCAGGAAGCAGCACAGCAGGAGGAGCCAATCATGACTGACACCTAAAACACTTTTTGCGTCAAGATTCTTATAAGAATAAAGATACAAGAAAAACAAGTTCTTGGTCACACACATTGATTAAGTGACTCGCTGATTAATAGGCCATGTTTTTTGGACTGGCAAAAATAGCGGTTTGTTTATACTTTTCAACAGAACTTTTATTATTTATTGAGTGCTTTCAAAACATCACAGCTGACCAAAGTGCTGATCTGATTGGTTAAAATAATATAATGTAAAAAATGACAATCTGAAGAATCACCGGTGTTTATGTTTCACTAGTTCAACATGAAATACTTTCTGAACACATGAACAGAAGGGCTTCAGACCCTCCGTTTTCTGATGTTATTTTGAAGTGTTGCATTTGTTTACATTATGAAGAATTATATTATTTTACAGTATATACTAATCCAGTTTTTTTTCACAGCTCTTGAAACATTAGCCTCATTACACCGTGTTAGTGTGAGTTTCTGATGTGTTTTAAAACGTTTGGAATCTCACGCTGCATTATAATAAATTTGCGTCTCTGCAAAATTCAGAGAAGGGCCCCGTGTGTTCATTGTTTCAACAGCAGCACGAGTTCTGCATTGTAGGAGAGTCTGATGTCCTTAAGATCGACTCAGAGAAGCTCTCCTTACTGTTCCTTAAGGTTGACTTCAACAGAAGGTCAACCATGAGGAGCAATAAGAAAAAGGACAAAGATGAAGGTATTTTTGACAACTTTCGGATGCAGCCATAGTTAGTCAGTCCAGGCTACACCTTCTGAGCCTGTTCAGCTCCGTCTTGGGGAGAGGACTGTTCCAAAGCGCTTATTTTCATCTGTTATTTACTGTTTTGGGGGGAACTAAAGGCCTGTGTACTGTGTGATGACACTTCGATTCTCTGACAAACAACGAGAAGTGTTGAATACAGGCCAACGTTTTGTTTTCAGTTTAAGAATTGTAGGTTATACTACAGATTATTGAGAAGAAACGGTTTTCCCATATGAACAGCGCTCCACATGTTTTTTTAAACAAGAAAGGGGATTTTGAACAGAAGTTGATTGCGCTGTGACCGGTTTCCATTCATTGTTGGTCCATTATTACTGTGCACCGTGATAGCCTTTGCTACACCTTCTTAAACAAACCTAATTCTCATAAATGTACCACATTAGGCATGCCGCAGCATGTAGTGCATAACTTTAGGCGGCGCACACACCACAACACTGCAGGTGGCCTGGAGTCACACACCGCGGGGCAGGGGGTTCTCTGCGGCACTAAACCATGAAATGATTGCTTTGGAATATTTGCTCTGTATTTGAAATTAAACTAATGACAAACCAAACACCGGCGCATCGGTGGGTGAGGAGTACATCATGGACCAGGAAGTCACCGTAATGATCTCACCAAAGCGTTTCTATTTTGAGTGACAGCAAAACTGAAGAACCAATGAAGATGGAATAAAAGAGGCAGAGCCCGCCTGCAGGTCCAGTTCAGAAGAACACAGTCACAGATATGTGCGGCCGACATGAGTTTCCATCGCTGAGTGGCTGGAGCCTCCCTAAGGGCGAGATGGGGAGTCACGTGGGAGTACAGCTGTCAGAGGGAACCAGCCTTGGTGGCTCAGAAAAAGCTCTTAAGCATGGAGTGATGTCACCATACATTTCAAATTGATACTTGATACTTGAAACAAAAACAATAAATTATCCTTTTCTTTATTATATTATTTAAACACAATGATGACATTATTTTAACACATGTTTTATTGATGCTGACATCTCAAACAATAATTATATATCAAGACAAGTATTGATACTAAAAATAGCGTTTTTGGGCCTGTCCCACCAGACCCCACTGAAGACCTAGACACGCTGGAGAACTGTCTCTCTCAGCTAAAAGGAGCGGAGGAAGTGTGGGGAAAGTGAAGTCAGGGCATTTCTGCTCAGACTGCCTCTGTGATCTGGTTCCGGATAAAGCAGAATAATTGGAAGTTCTGTTGTGCTCTGATTGGCCCTCATTTATGAAACTTCTGTACGGCCAAATCAGGGTGTAAATGAGTCATACGCAAGTAATTTACACTTTTCGGCTTTATCAATCTGGACGTGGGCCTACGGTACGCACAAAATGTACGCCAAGTCAGGAGGTGGTGTAAATTTTACACCCATCTCAACCTTCATTACAACTCGCCAAAACAGGCATGAAATTCAAGCTTTGGATAACAATAAACATAAACCTTCTCTGGAAAAATAATAGTCTGCGTTTTCAATGAGCATCATGTTTCGAAATGTGAATTTGCGCATCAGAAAAAGTCTGATGGAAACAAGCACACTTTGAATAAATCACAGTTCATGATGATGACCCTCTTCTGTTTCTTTGATTTTAAATCTGACTTGTGTGTTTATTATTTTCATCTGTATGTCTTTTAAATGTGCAGCGCTTTGTGATACTGGTCTTTGAAAGGCTCTATACAAATATACTTGACTTACTAACTTACTCAATGTGTGACCATCTATTTCTCCATAAATCTGTGGCAGACCCTGCGTAATTACACATGGCTATTTGTTTTGTCTCATTCACCTCTGGCAAAGCAACGTATTGTTTTATTAGTTTTGTGCATAAAGCCCCATAAACGCAGCGATGGCAAAGCACTGTACTTATGGGAACGGGCTAACGGGCAGTGGCTCTTTGGGCAGTGGCTCTTTGGGCAGTGGCTCTTTGGGCAGTGCGCAGCGGGTCTCACAGAGGTCCCACCGCACTCGCCATGGTGCGCATCATTCAGACGTTTTGGATCCAGAGTTTCTCTGTGAAATCACGGACACTTCCCAAACTCATGTGCATCTTTCTCTCTCACAGAGATCGCTCCATTGCATTCACATGAAGATGCCGTTCATTCATTTATTCATTCATTCATTTCTAAAGTTCAAGAGAGATGAGTGTTGCAGTGGGTCTAGACACTAGGGAAAAAACGCGATATAGCGTAATTTTTATTTTATTTTTTTTTTACAAAATAATAAAATAAAACTCAATATAAACTCAGTGTGTGTCACTAAGAGGCCTTTTGAGGCTTCCAACTAATCTTGCTGGGTCGTGAAACGGGCGATTTCTGAAGATTTCTAGGCGTGACTTAAATGCGTTAGTTTTGAGCGTGGCATTTACCTGTACAGCCGCAGATGTGTACGCTTAGATCTCGGCGGATCTCATACATTCATAAATCGCGCATTGGATCTTGCGTATTTGGAATCTACACCAAAAATATACACCCCTTTCTGCGCAAGTTTCATAAATGAGGGCCTTAGAGTATAACAGGTGTTGAGGCACGCAGATAATATGGACCTGTCTATTGGCACCTCCTTTTCCAAAACCTTACGTAGACCAAATATTATGCCCCTGTTTTTGTTTAGCTCGTGCTTTTTCACACTGAAGGGACCCTTTAATAAGTCTTGCTTTGAGTTTGCAATATGGGCTTTGAGTTTGCAATATGGGCCATATACTTAATGGTAATGGATGAATACTGTAATGTAAACTTTTGATGCAGTAACTTAACGTTTTAGTGTTCTACAGCCACAAAATGTACCTTAAGGATTTTCTGTTAAAGGAACAGAATAGTGAGCAACAAAATAAATATGGGCCAACACTCCCTCTTTACCTCATTAAAGCAGTGTCATTAAGCCTGTTGTCTGCTGCTGCTCATCTCCAAAGGGCCCTTAAAAAGCTTTTAGTGAAGGGAAGGCCAAGTGATTAGAGACGCCACAGTGTGTCAGCACAGGATTAGCATTAGGAGTCATGCTATTCTAAAGAGATTTGTTTGGTCTTCTCTTACTCCTGACATGCTTTTAACCAATCAGATTAGTGCTTTGTTTGTATGTCATTATACCTTGACTGTTTGGATCACTTTGCAGAATTCCTCGCAGATGTTGCTCTGTCCTGGCTTGAGGCTGACTTGTTCTTGGGCAGTTTTCCTTCCTGGAGTGAGCTATGACAGTCCTCTGCAGTTTGACTTCAGTACAATAGTATCCCAAGTAGTAGAAAAGAAACATGTCTTTTGTGGCCTTGCTGTTTCACAGGTTGTTTTAAGATTTCAAATACTCACTAAAAGCTTACAGACTCTGCCCAGTCACAATACCTTTCACCTTAATGGGAGGAAAAATATTTAACACAAACAAAACCAACGTTTGGCTCACATCCTGATGCACAAACATAAAAAAAAAATGGAATGAGTGAGAGAGCCAGCCCCTGGCTGTAACCTCATTCCAACCTCTCTAGTTTGCATTCACAAATATTATGAATTTCTTCTCACGTGGATAAAAACAAATACCTGGTGTTTGGATCTTGTGTCGCAATTAATGAAAACTGGTTTGGAATTTTGTGATAGCTGTTTTGCAAATGTTAATTTTGAATGAAGATGTGTTTGGAAGTGAATAGAGTCTGTGAGAGTGGTGTGAAATGCTACTTGGTAAAACCTCTGCAAAGTGCTTCTGCTCACACCCACACGAGCGAGAACCCTCTGCTTTACTGCTCTGGAACAGTTATTGGAGTGCCTCTCACTGGTTTTTCATGTTTTAAACTTGCAACATCGAGTTTGTTTTTATCTCTGCAAGAGTCAAGTGATCTGCAGCATATGAAACAATAACATAAAGAGGAATGATGTTGTCCCTTTGTGCTTTAAGCCTTTCAGTGGAATGGACAGTGGTGGTTTATGACCACAGTGTAGTGCTGCAGCTGCTCTGAGCTTCTCACGTTCAGAGCTACTCACGTTCAATCAACACTCTCCTGAGCTTAGACTTTCAAAATGAAACATGTGGTTTACAAAACACAGGAGACTTTCAAGAGGAATTGTCGTGCATAAGCTCGTGGTGGAGGCTAGGACTACAGTAACTTTTCATTGTGACCATAAATTAACACTTAACACAGCCTATTTTTTTCAAAAAACAAAAAGTATATTTGACAAAGTGAAAATGCTGAAGGAAAAAGGTTTAGTGTAAAAGGTTTGAACATTATCACCATGATTCCTGTGTTGAACTCGGCTGAGAATAGACTTACTAACCACCCGGCACTATTGGAGATGATTTGTAGATGACAACTCCTATGAGCCTCTGTCTCTCATAGACCGGAGCCAAAGTGAGCCTGAAGCCTTTGGCCCACTAAGGTACAGTCTGGTCCAGTCTGGCACGGTTTCAGTCCTCTAGGGCCCTGGCACTGACTCACCACAGGATCTGAGCAACAAAACTTGCATGAAAAACACTTGCATTTGCAATTTGTGTTTGAAGGAACTTTGTAAAGATCTATGACAAATACTGGTTCATGTACGGTTTTCAACCATCTGTTTATGTATTTATATCTCCATCTTCCATTGTATTCATGTCTGAGCAGAGATTCCCAGTCTATTGTTCATTACGTACAGTGGGACAAAAAAGTATTTAGTCAGCCACCGATTGTGCAAGTTCTCCCACTTAAAATAATGACAGAGGTCTGTAATTTTCATCATAGGTACACTTCGACTGTGAGAGACAGAATGTGAAAAAAAAATCCAGGAATTCACATTGTAGGAATTTTAAAGAATTTATTTGTAAATTATGGTGGAAAATAAGTATGTGGTCACTTCAAACAAGGAAGATCTCTGGCTCTCACAGACCTGTAACTTCTTCTTTAAGAAGCTCTTCTGTCCTCCACTCGTTACCTGTATTAATGGCACCTATTTGAACCTGTTATCTGCATAAAAGACACCTGTCCACAGCCTCAAACAGTCAAGCCTAGTTTATACTCGCGCGGCGCGGAGCTTACGGAGGTGACGTGACGTCACTTGCGCAACGCGTTGGTCACCGCAAGGCCCTTACGTTGCCTGCCCTGCAGCATCGAAATTTTCTAACTACGTAAGGGTCGCCGCAAGGAAGCTCCGCTGTGATTGGTCCGTGTGTGTGTATTGGAAGGAAGCATGAAGCGGCTGCAGCAGGGACATGGCACTATGGAGCAGGCTGCTTCACGCTTCGAAGGAAAAGCAGTTTGGGCTCAGAGCCTGATATACAGGAGACTGTGGACTATCTAACATATATATAACTTATAAACTGTGCAGTTGTTTGTGTTGCACTGTTCCTGTCTTTGTTTGAATCGTAGCTGCGTTTGTTGCTTTCCTCCTGCACTCGTAAATCGTTCATGTTTGTCTCAGATATTTACCACTATTATTGTATTGCTGTTTGTGCTGAAAACTATTTAATAATAACTATGTTTCCAACAAGAACTGTGTCTTTATTCACAGAATCACAGTTGAAATGACTTATAAAATAATGAATCCATAAAACTATCACATAAACCTGCAGTAGAAACACATGTAATGAACTCAAACAGCTTTGTTTGCTATTGTTGTTCTGAAGAGGACAAAGTAGCAGCGTAAATGGGACCGCTCCTGTGTGATCGCCCTCATGTGGTTTGTTGTGGGATTACAACATTCTCCTCAAAACTCCGTAAGGGGAACGCGCCAGTATAACATCAATTGTGCTTACGTAGGTCCACCGCAACCGCTAACGTAAGCCACGCCGCACAAGTATACTCTAGGCTTCAGACTCCAAACTCCACTATGGCCAAGACCAAAGAGCTGTCGAAGGACACCAGGAAAATAATTGTAGACCTGCACCAGACTGGGAAGAGTGAATCTACAATAGGCAAGCAGCTTGGTGTGAACAAATCAACTGTAGGAGCAATTATCAGAAAATGGAAGACATGCAAGACCACTGATAATCTCCCTCGATCTGGGGCTCCACGCAAGATCTCATCCCATGGGGTCAAAATGATCATGAGAACGGTGATCAAAAATCCCAGAACCACACGGGGGGACCTGGTGAATGACCTGCAGAGAGCTGGGACCAAAGTAACAAAGGTTACCATCAGTAACACACTACGACGACAGGGAATCAAATCCTGCAGTGCCAGACGTGTCCCCCTGCTGAAGCCAGGGCATGTCCAGGCCCGTCTGAAGTTTGCCAGAGAGCACATGGATGATACAGCAGAGGATTGGGAGAATGTCATGTGGTCAGATGAAACCAAAGTAGAACTGTTTGGTATAAACTCAACTCGTCGTGTTTGGAGGAAGAAGAATACTGAGTTGCATCCCAAGAACACCATACCTACTGTGAAGCATGGGGGTGGAAACGTCGTGCTTTGGGGCTATTTTTCTGCTAAGGGGACAGGACGACTGATCCGTGTTAAGGAAAGAATGAATGGGGCCATGTATCGTGAGATTTTGAGCCAAAACCTCCTTCCATCAGTGAGAGCTTTGAAGATGAAACGTGGCTGGGTCTTCCAGCATTACAATGATCCCAAACACACCGCCCGGGTAACGAAGGAGTGGCTTCATAAGAAGCATTTGAAAGTCCTGGAGTGGCCTAGCCAGTCTCCAGACCTCAACCCCATTGAAAATCTGTGGAGGGAGTTGAAAGTCCGTGTTCACTGCTCTCGAGAAGATCTGCATGGAGGAACGTACCAAAATACCAGCTACTGTGTGTGCAAACCTGGTAAAGACCTATAGTAATCGTTTGACCTCTGTTATTGCCAAGAAAGGTTATATTACAAAGTATTGAGTTGATTTTTTGTTTTTGACCAAATACTTATTTTCCACCATAATTTACAAATACATTCTTCAAAAATCCTACAATGTGAATTCCTGGATTATTTTTTACATTCTGTCTCTCACAGTTGAAGTGTACCTATGATGAAAATTACAGACCTCTGTCATCATGTTAAGTGGGAGAACTTGCACAATGGGTGGCTGACTAAATACTTTTTTACCCCACTGTATATATAGTTACAAATTATCAATGGTTTTGAAGGTAAGGTAAGGACAGTGGTTCCTCACTTCTTTCACAGCCTCGCTGTTTTGTGGATTTTTTGTGTGCAATTTTGCATCCTTTTTTTTCATGTGCGAGTGTGTATTAATTTCCAAAACAGATAAGTGCCAGTAGAAAGTCAGTTACCAAGTCATTTTCTTGAAAAGGCAGGATTTTCACCCCTTCTTGAGCCACTTCAACCAACTTTACTGTCATTAACAAAACATGACGATTGTTGCACGATGAATACAACGGTTTGATACATTTACTAATCCGAGATAATTGTTTTTGCAAATGAACTTGTGGGTTGTAGCCCTAAAAGATCCATGGCCCTCAGTCCTCCTCCTGCCCCTCAGTCCTCCTCCTGCCCCACAGTCCTCCTCCTGCCACTCAGTCCTCATCCTGCCACTCAGTCCTCCTCCTGCCACTCAGTCCTCCTCCTGCCACTCAGTCCTCCTCCTGCCACTCAGTCCTCCTCCTGCCACTCAGTCCTCCTCCTGCCACTCAGTCCTCCTCCTGCCCCTCAGTCCTCCTCCTGCCCCTCAGTCCTCCTCCTGCCACTCAGTCCTCCTCCTGCCCCTCAGTCCTGCAAAAAGTGCCTAAAGTTTGTTGCTCAGAGGTTTTACCGCCGCTACAGCTGTGGATTTAGCTTAATGTGGTTTATTATTAGTATGTAACCCCCACGATAAACAAGGGACCACTGCACTTGATTGTTTCTGTAGAAAGTTTGCCCAGGGACTCATCAGCAGATACACAACATACTGCTTATTATTATCTCATCATGCTACAGTGTACAACCCAGTGAAATACAACAGATATCTTTGAATTAATGAGTGCAAATAGGCTCTTTGGGGTTTGCACTTATAATAGTGTGTTTGGCATAGCTCGATTTCAGACAAACCAAAGATGGAGACAAATGGTAATAATATGGTCGCTAACAGAAATGGTGATTTATTGTTTTGAGTTATTTATTTTTGTAACAGAAATGACTAAACTGTCTGGTTTGGCCGAGCTAAAAGGCAGCTGTCACTCAGTGCGTCCACACATCCACATTCTGAGCACAGCCACAAACAGAAGCTTTTCCATCTGCCGCGTCAGTCTGGGACTGTGAGCTGGAGCCAGACGTCACTCAAATCCAATCTCTATATGAGACACGTACATGACATATCTATGCTTCACACCATGCATTATATTTACATCAAAATCACATCGCGTCTCTGCAATCCCACGTTCACCAACTGGAGGGATACTGTTTTTGAAATATTTCCATGATTCAAAGTTGATACTGACTAACTACACTGCAGAAAAGGATCAAATATAACATCTTAAATCTTAGTGTTTTTTTACCTTAAAGTGATAGTCTGTAACTCTAAATGAATTACAAATTTTAAGAAATGTATTAAATTGACCTCCTGGCCTTAAATATTGATATGAAATAATCATTTCTAATATTTCTAATATTTCTAATATTCTAATATTACGGGTAAGTCCCGCCTTCCCTTCTCTTAGCTATAGCTAGAAATCCACGATGCCGTCCACGTTAACCAACCAAGTGATGCCAAGGGCTGTCAATCATTGCGCTGATGCTCTTAGCTGAGCGCATGCTCAGTTTGTTTTTGCGGAGCCTTCGAATCTATTGCAGGGGTCGGAGGGGGTCGGTTCGGAGACCACAGGATTTCATCTCTGCAGTTGGGACGATGTTGTCCTGTTGGCTCCAACGAACCAGGACCTGCAGCATAGCACTGGGCGGGTTTGCAGCCGAGTGTGAAGCGGCTGGTTGAGAATCAGCACCTCCAAATCCGAGGCCATGGTCGCTCGACCGGAAAAAGGTGCCTTGCCCTTGCAGGTGGGTGGAGAGGTCCTTCCTCAAGTGGAGGGAGTTCTAGTATACGGGGGGTCTTGTTCCGAGTGAGGGAAGAATGGAGCGTGAGATTGACAGGCGGATCGGTGCAGCGTGCGCAGTGATGCGGCCGCTGTATCGGACCGTTGTGGTGAAGAGGGGAGCGAGCCGAAAGCAAAAGCTCTCGATTTACCGGTCAATCTCACCGTTCCCTCCCTCACCTATGGTCATGAGCTTTGGGTAATGACCGGAAGACGAGATCGCGGATACAAGCGGTCAAATGGCTTCCTCCGCAGCGTGGCTGGGCGCTTCCCTTAGGTAGGCTGAGGAGCTCACTCACACGGGAGGAGCTCGGAGTAGAGGCCGCTGCTTCTCCACGTCGAGAGGAACCAGTGAGGTGGCTCGGGGATCTGTTTCCGGATGCTCTGGGACGTCCCTGGGGAGGTGTTCCGGGCATCGTCCAACGGGAGTAGGCCCGCGGAAGACCAGGACACGTGGAGGGACTATGGTCGCTCAGCTGGCCTGGGTATGTATGATTGTTTTTTACCTTTCACAAGTTAGGAGTGACATAAACAAAATCATTGTTCAGGCTATGATTGCATGTCTCGCAGACTGTGCCTGCCTACTTTCCTCATAAAACTCATCTACACCTCGGCCATCTTTTCAATGTCACCACTAAAAGAAGCTATGTGATTCTCTGGAGGTACATAGGACATAGGACGTTAGGTCTCCCTGTTTAAAGAGGACATAGCCATTCATAACCTCCTCCAGCTTCTTTGCAACTCTCTTATCTGTTGTCACATGTTTGGGGGTTCATTGTCCTGTCTTCATTGTGTCCACTGTTGTTCATTGGCTGATCCCCCAGACCAGAATTCTCACGTCTTGATGCATTTTTTTGGAATGAGTTTTGGCTCGTTTCACCAAACTGTCAATGATAAAAGTCCAGATGAAACAGATAGTGATCAGTGAACGAACGCTCCTTATGTGCGCTCCTTGTCCTCATGGTTCCTACAGGCGCTGTGTCACTGCCGCTGCGGTTGCTGCTCGGCGTCAACCCTCCGCTGATCTCCGCTAGACAGCGCAACGGTCTTCGCACGTGCACGTAGCGGTTGGCCGACTTCACCACTGCGGTTTATGTTAACGTTGACACTGCGTGGTGGGTATAAAACAAAATACATGAAAATAACCCCACTCCTGGTACCAAAATGAAGCCGGGTACAAAGAAACGGCTAGGCTTCAAACTAAAGCAGGGGATCTTTCTTTTTCTTGAAATAAGCCACCAAAATTTGTGTCAGTCAAAGTATATTTAAAACGGCAGTGGCACCCTCTGTAACAGAAAACCATACAATCCACCGGATTAATTTTAAACATTAAATTGTAAAAACAAAATGATCCAAACTACATTAAACTAATCAGATTGTTTCTTACTTTCACAATCTGAGAAAGATGTCGATGACAGCAAAATTTGCCCTATCAGCTTTCAGTTAAAAAACCAAGTGTGTGCTAGCGTCACTCTGGAAACCGTCCAGTATGTTATTATTTTAAATAAATACAACAACAAAAACAACACATAACATGGCAACTCATTTGAAAACAAACAAATATTAACGAACAACCACAAAGAAATTAAAACACAAGCTTTTACAACAAGGAATATTTCTTCACCTGGTTACATTTAAATAATATATTATATATATATATATATATTATATATATAATTATATAAATACACCCCGTCTGGACCATTAACGTGATGCCCGGAGGTTACTTAATAAACAGGCCACGCCCCCTAGTGGTTTACATTTTTTATTGTTTTCACTGCATAAAGATAAATAAGTCACATGATCGTCACATTTACACACTTTATTTATTTCATGACTTTAATATTGGTTCTATTGTTATTCATTGGTTATGTGTCTGATGTGGACAGATTGCAGCAGACGGCGGCTTAACTCCTCCCCCAGCTGTGACACCGCCCTGAGGTGAAAAATAGGGTAGGTGGGGACATTCGCGGTTGACGTCTCAGTGGACGGGGTCGCGTGGGTGGCATCACACTGGGCGGGGCTCACTGGTCTCTCGCTCCTCGATGAAATCCCCAGACGGACAGTGTTCATGAACTGACACAAACCCATCGGGCAAAACTGTTAACATATTCTGTGATACGCGTTATGGTTTCTCTGTGGTGCACGACTGGGAAGCACTGTGGAAACACCGCAATTTTATGAAATCTGATGGTAAACCAATTCTTAATTCCACACAGGTTGAACGTCTGCTGAGAGCTGTAATGTTGCCCTTAGAGATCGCTGTATGCAAATGCCAGGCCCACAAATGCCACTGATCCCATCTCTGCAGGGAATCGGCGCGCGGACAAGGCAGCGGCCATACGCACCTCTACACACACACACACACTACCTCTCTCAAGACGTTGATATTTTCTACTCCAGCAGAGACGCTGCTGTGGGAGGGGAATGGGGCTCAACGACGGCATGGTGTGTGTGGCTGGGACCAGACAGCAAACCGTGCCTACCACGGCATTTCTTCAGACAGTTTGCAATTTTAGCACATGGTCGAGACCATGCCTTAGAAGGAGGGATGTATGATTTAATCACACAAAATTGGTATACAAAGGGGTTTACGGCATTTGCACAGAGATTCTGCCAAACATGCGCTATATGCCTCGCGCACAACCCAGGTAAGTCCCAAAAGTATCCAACAGGCTGCTCATCCTCCGCCCCGGCGCCCATTTCAACATGTCCAAAGGGACTTTGTTGAACTCACACCATGCCAAGGTAAGTAATACTGTCTGGGTCTGGCGGATCTCTGGTCCAAATGGACTGAATATTTGCATGCAAACACGCCACGAGCAACGCGGTGGTGAAAGCTCTGCTCACAGAAATTGTGCCACGATGGGGTGTCTCGAGGGAAAATCTCTAGTGACAATGGCAGTCACTATGTAGCAAAAGTCATTGAGGAAGTGGGTGAATTTCTGGGCATTGATATACGTAAACACTGCAGTTACGCCCCCTGGTCCGGAGGCACGTGCGAGCGAGAGAATGGCACTCAAAGCTCTGCCGCTAGCCCCACGTTGGGCGCGGGACCCCCGAACAGAGATCTGCCAAGCACCTCTTTGTGTGATGACGACATGCTGTCCTATTGTAAGGAAATTAATGCACTTTTGTCCTCTATTTCTGCCCAGGTCAGGAGCGCCCTGCCACAGGCTGCGCAGGCGACTGGGTCCTGGTGAAGGAAACGAGACGAAAGCACTGGCGGTCCAAGCGCTGACTCGGCCCATTCCTCGCCCTCCTGGTGACGGACACTGCCGTTAAGGTCGCGGAGAGGACAACTTGGATCCACGCCAACCACTGTCGTGCGGTGCTGCCACTGAGGGCCATACACGAGGACACCGAGGGCGCGGACGGACCAGGCCCATCCGCGGCTCCCCACGCTGAAGAAGTCGGCCGGCGTGCGGCCACCGTCGGTGAAGCAGGCCAACAACAACACCCAGAGAATCCCAGCGCTCCCGAGGCGACCCCCCTTCTGCCCAACTCCCCAGCCCCCGGATCCCAAGGCTTGGGAGCCATGAAGGCCCTGAGCGCTCTGCCCAGCTGCAGCAAGTATGCAGAGCTGCTGCCCATTCCAAAGATTTCTCCAGAGCTTGCTCCCTCTGGCCATAATGCAGATTTGAGCTCTGCTGGAGTGCCCCCTGGTGTCTCGTCTCCCGTGTGTCCGGAGGAGGTGGAGATGAGGGCTGCTCTACAGTTCCTGATGAGGCACATGGTGAAGCGTGCTGTCATGAGGTCTCCCATCAAACGAGCTTTGGGCCTGGCCGATCTGGAGCGTGCTCAAGCCATGGTCTCCACACCCCAAACCCCGAGCACTCTGCCCAACCGAGTGCTGAGGCCAAGGCTTCAACGCAATTAGAGTCTTACCGCTCCAAGACCAAACATCGCCATGGCCACTAACGCTCCACACACGCTCATAGGGAGCGGTGCCACTGACTGCGAGACGGCACTGCTCGTGAGTATTTCCGCGGAAAAGACTACCGAACGTAGCCCGGCTAAGACCGGCATGGGCCCTTGGACTGTTATGCTGGCCACACTGACACTACTTTCCGTGCTGACCGTGTTCATTATGTTAATATTGCCTTCTCTTATCGCTGTCCGGATCCATTGTGTTATTATAATGCGCTCTTTCTTTTATTGACAAGCATGTTTCTTTTCTTGTCCACTTTGGACAGCAATAATTTAAGTGTTTCAAGCTTGAAGGTGGTGTGATTACGATGCCTCTGGTATTTAACTGATTAATGCAAAAATGGTTTTGAATTATCAAAAGAGGGGAGTGTGGTGACAGTTTTTGGAGTAATTACATAAAACCAGCCGCAGCAAATACACGGACGTCAAAGGCCTTTTATCAATGCAGAGACGCCCTTCTGACGCCATGCTGAGCTTTGTGAGGGCCCCCTGCTGTCTGTCACACCCTTGTGTCTTTCGTATCTTGAATCTGTATGCCTGCTTCTATCCATATGTCCCTGCTGCCAGGAAGGAGCCGGGCCCCCCCCGACACCTACAGACAATGGCGATCACTCTTGCCCCCTTTCACCTCTTGCATATGTATCGGTCTGTATGTGTGCACTTCCTACATCCTGCAGTCTGTTTGTATCCCTATGCGCCTCCTGCACCGGTGGCCCCCCCTCCCATCTGTTGTGGGCGGGACTGGCTTTCGTGTGTGTCTTGTATACAGGAAGCTCGGGGCTCTGGCCCCAGAGCTGGGACATGCTGCTTTTTGAGTGTATGTGTTGGCTCTCCGCACGTGCGTTAACAATAAACTTACGCTTTTGATCAGACAAAGGACCTTTGAGTTTTCTCCTTCATGGGGTATATAATTCTACAACAGCTCTCAGGTTAATCCCTCACGGAACTGTTATATCTGGAAATGCCTATATCTGGAAATGCCTATATCTGGAAATGCCTATATCTGGAAATGCCTATATCTGGAAATGCCTATATCTGGAAATGCCTATATCTGGAAATGCTTATATCTGGAAATGCTTATATTGGAACTACTTATATCTGGAACTTTGTACCGTATCTGGAACTGCTTCATATGGAACTGCTTATATATGGAACCGCTATATTGGAACTGCTCATATGGTACGGTTATACCTGGAACTGTTATGCAGTACATGGAACTGCATATATGGTACTGCTATATCTGGAACGCTATATTTTAAAAATAAATAAATGAATAAATAAATACATATAAATAAACATATATAAATAATTATAAATAAATATAAATAAATATAAATAAACATAAATAAATATAAATAAATATAAATAAATTTAAATAAATAAATGAATAAAAAAAAAAAAAAAAAAAAAAAAACCTGTTGAAATCCCTCACACTGAACAGCTACAACAACATTCTACTGCCGTGGCTTTGATACGGGATCATTGCTGTTATTATCTACGGACGCTGCAGCTGCTGCTGCTGCTACTACTGCTGCTGCTTCATACGGCTACTACTGCTGCTGCTGCTGCTCCATTGCTACTGCGCTACTACTGCTGCTTCATTTACTTGCCATCTCTCTTCACTTGCATCTCTTTTACTGAAACACTGATCAGCTACGACAACATTCTACTGCTGTGGCTTGATACAGGATTATTACTGTAATCTCTAAGGATGCTGCTGCTGCTGCTGCTGCTGCCGCGGCTTGATACAGGTTATCGCTGTTATTATCTGAGGTACTGCTGCTGCCGCTGCTGCTACCGCTACTGCTGCAACCCACTCTCTCAGAAGCTTATCCTGTTTCTAATGGATGCTGCCCGGCTGAGTATGCCGGGTCGCGCTGGCCTCGTACCTATGCTCCCAGGGTCGCTTCGGCGGTCATGCTTCATCTCTCTACCTCATCTTCTGATTCTATCAGATGCAGCTGGCCGAGTAGCTGCGCTGAGCCGTCAATCGGACTCCTAATCAAAGGCATCCATACCTGTATTCTTCACTCTTCTGATCGCAGGCTCCCCCATCGTGCTGCCCATCCGGCAGCGGCGCTGAACTCCGGCTCATCTTCCAAGTACATGTCTGCCCTCCTCGCAGCATCTTCCTGCTCTCCTTCTATGGCTTCTCTGCATAAGCGTTTCACCATTGCTCACTCAACCTTCATGCGGTCCGAGACGCGGCTTCCCGACCATCCTACTATCCTGATTATCTACTCTCCAACCCAAGATTCTAAGTGTAAGGGCGCCTGCAACATCAATGGCCCTCTCCGATATGTCTCTCTGCCCCTACAGGTCTCCGCTCTACACGGACGTGCCCCTTCCGTGGGTTTTGGGGGAGTCTTCCAGGGCCATTGGGTTGCCGGGCCGTGGCCGCTACTTCCACCGGAGCATCTCCTCTGCCCTACACGAGATATTCCCAGTGGTCGTGGCTGCGCGCCGTGGAATCACACGTGGCAGAGAAAGAGGATCTCTGTCATGCGCGATAATCTCGACGTAGCGGAAGCATCACACAAAGGTCGCTCCTTTCACCCAACATAATGTCCCCTGACCCTTTCAACCTTCATCTCAAACATTCAAAGACCAAGGCGCCTGCAACATAATAATAGCTCGCTCCGACACATCTCTCTCCAGACAACCTTCCCATGACAGCAACCTGGTTCAGAGCTCAACTAAGATCCCTACTGCTCCTCTGCAATTTGTCTCCCCAGCTCTACACAGCCCACTCCTTCAGGATAGGCGCTGCCACGCGCGCGGCCTCGCTGGGGCTCCCCCACCTCTCCAACAGCTGGGGGGCTGGTCCTCTTCGGCCTTCTCCGCCTACATCAGGCCAGACGCGTCCGCCATCCTGGCTGCACAACGCCTACTGGCTTCCTCGCAAGCTCCCAGCAAAGCAATACGAAGCAAAATAAGTGAAGCAATAAGATTCTGGTGGCGGCACGCACTTCTCAAACACTCTCCGCTGCCGCAGCGTCTGACGGAACGTGATGCGAACGCTCACGTTCCCAGCGCGCAAAAATAACCCATGATGCATTACACTCGCCTCCGCTCTCGGAAAGGAGATCTCAACGGACCGTTATTTTCACCCCCGATCACCTCCCAACGTCATCCAACGGGTTCAGAGCCCAACTAAAGTCCGTACTGCTGCTTTGTAACCTGTCTCCCCATCTCTACGCAGCTCACTCCTTCCGGATAGGCGCCGCCAGCAGCCGAGTATCCGCAAGTATTGATCACAGTAGATAGCGGTCACAGCATATAGCGATAGCGGTCACAGCATATAGCGATAGCGGTCACAGCATATAGCGATAGCGGTCACAGCATATAGCGATAGCGGTCACAGCATATAGCGATAGCGGTCACAGCATATAGCAAAAAATGGTTAGCAGCATTGCGCTGGCGGTCACAGCATAGCGATAGCGGTCACAGCATATAGCGATAGCGGTCACAGCATATAGCGATAGCGGTCACAGCATATGGGGATGGCTAGTCGCTACGTCATTGTAGCCGAAAACGTCACTTCCGTGTCCAAACCAAATTGCGGTACAATGGTGCAGTGCTGTGTCCCATCTTGTAATAACAGAAATGATGTAAATAAAACGATATGTTACTACCGCTTTCCTCTGGACGAAAACGAGAAGAGGAGATGGCTTAAACTGATACGGTAAGCAGGATTTAGAATCATGAAAAATACATTTAAGTGTGGGCTAGCGCCAGTATTTGCGCTAAACGTTAGCCAAGATAACGTTACCTGTTGCTGTTACGATGGAGTGGGGCCACATTACTAAACGAGATTAAAGTTATTGACGAGAATAAAGTTGTCATTTACTAGTTTAATATAGTTATGAGTTTTAAGTCGTTATTTATGAGAATCAAGTAGCTAGTTATTTATGAAAAGTCATATTTTATGAAATTAAACTCATTTACGAAAATAAAGTAATTTACGAGAATTAAAATAATTACAAGATTAAGTAATTTACAAGAATAAAGTAATTCTTTACAAGATTAAAGTGACTACAAGATTAAAGTAATTGTTTTAGATTTAAGTGACAATTTAGAAGAATAAATTCAGTATTTACAAGATTAGTCATTTTTGAGAATAAAGCCATTATTAACAATGTTAAAGTCACTATTTATGTATATACAGTTGCCAAATGTTGTTGCTTTTGTGGAAGGGGGATGAGAGGGATAAGGGTTCTGCACTTGCAGAACCTACTTCTATTTTGTTTATTGCCTCTGAGTTCTTTATGTAATGTTCTTTTCTGTTTTTCAGGCGTAAAGATTTCACCCCAAACCACAACTCAAGGGTCTGTGGATGGCATTTTCCACATGGCAAAGCAGCCGGGCCAACACGGTTTGCCTGGAATGAGGGAAAGGCTTTCCCTCACATCAGACATCCAACCAAACGGCAAAAGAAAATGCTCCCAGCGACTGTAGAGGACGAAGGAAGAGCGGAACCAGGCCCAAGTCACCTCTGCAATGCTCAAAAGACCCCAAGTACTTCAAGTGTTTTGGTGCTCGAAATTGAGAACGAGATGCTCAGAAAAGAAAATGACAAACTAAAGAAAGAATTGGAGAAACAAAAACAAACGTTTTCATTTAGTCAAATATCCTCCCACCCAGGCAGAGTCAACTATTACACTGGCTTGCCAGATGCTGCCACAGTCTTTTTTTTGGAGACCCTTCTTTCCAAATTTGATCTCCAGTATCACTTTGATTGGAATGTCCAAAAAATGCCCCTAATCGATCAGTTGCTCTTGACTTTGATGAAACTCCGACTAAATTGTGGTGTTGTTGACCTTTCGCTGAGGTTTAACTGCTGCCGGGCCACAGTCACCAACATCTTCATCACCATCTCCAGTGCCCTGTATGACATTTTGTATGTAGGCATGATGGAAAACAAAATTCCCTCCAGATTCAAGAACCAAACCTCCCTGCCACATTGCTTCCAGCCGTTTCCAAATTGTCGCATTGTGCTAGACTGTACTGAAGTAGCTGTGTCCAACACAGAAAGTTTGGACACCCAAAGTCATCTGTACAGTCATTACAAAGGATGTACCACACTTAAGGCTCTGATTGGTGTGGCCCCCAATGGAGTCACAACCTTCGCCAGTGACCTATATGGTGGAAGCACATCAGACAAAGCGATAACAGCAGACTGCGGAGTACTCCAACAGCTAGAAGCAGGTGACATGGTGATGGCTGACAAGGGTTTCACTATTCGTGACATTTTACCTGCAGATGTTTCACTGAACATCCCAACATTCCTTGTCAACGGACAGTTCACAATGGAGGAAAACAATTACAACAGACTTATTGCCAGTGCAAGAGTTCATGTAGAGCGTTCCATTCAGCGCCTCAAAAATTTCACATTTTGTCCTACATTCCATACCAGTATAAAAAAGCATGCCAACAAGATTTTGAAAGTTTGTGTGTGTCTCACAAATTTACAGACACCCATTCTCCGTGAAATAGCATGAATTTCCTCACTGTTTGCCACAATGCCATCATCAGCCTTGATTATATATATTTTTGAACTTTATTCCATAAGAAATGTATCAATATAGTTGTTTTTTCCTTGCTAATCAATTTTCACAAACTGAAATGTTTAACAATAAATGTTAGATTACTTTTTATGGTGTTTGTCAAAACAATTGTGTTTAATCCACCATAAAATGTGAATAATTTGGAGAAGTACTTAGATATCCATTTGACAGCGTGGATGAAAGGGCAGCTGAACTATCTAATAAAAACAAGTCTTCACAGTGATTATGTTGCTCCCACTCAATTTATTTGGACTACATGGGTTTCCTCGTTACTGCTTTTTTCAGAATAAATAAAACAAAACAAACAGCAGCAACTGGTACAAATGCACAGATGTTAATATATCTTAAACATTAATCTCAAACAAGTACAATTTGGGGAGGCTTCAACATTCAGAATGAAAATCCTGCTTTAGAACATGTAAAGAATGCAGGGTTAATCAATTAATATCGGAGAGAATATGGGGCAGGAAAAAATTCTTATAAAATGTTTCTAAAACAGTAATGTTGTTTGCCCAAGCTGGATCTTTCTGGATGAATAGGATTACAAGATCCAGCGGAGTCCATACCACCAGGTGACAAGTGCCAGCTCCTGTCAGGTACAGGTTGCCCTGAATCTGATGCCAGTAGTTGTGGGTCTGTTTCATTTTCAGTAGGCCAGTGACTTCATCCAGTTTGAGATAAAAGTCCTTTGCCTCTGCTGCCTGAATTATGGTCTTCTTTCTGGCTGCATAGGGACATTTTACCTCAATGATGCAGTCATCAGATACTAGCCCATCTGGGGAGCCACCAAGCAGGCCACTGTCAGAGAGAAACACGCCGCTCTCCTGGAAGGTCACACCAGTGCGCTTCATATACTCTTCTTTTGCCTTTTGCTCATGCACGATTCCCCAATCACAAGCCTGGGGGCAGAAAGGGAATTCCATACACAATGTGCTTTATAAAGGGAGAGAAGGAAATAAGTGTAAGTGTGTGTGTGTGGTAGTGTGAGTGTGAGCGTGTGTGTATTTGTTTGTTTTACAGCAGCTAACGTAGCTTTTAAAAGCCAAAACAAGGACTAAAGGATATGTTTTATTACAGTACCCCAGGGTTAAAATCACTTGGTGTCCATCACTTACATGAGCTCCCTGCTTGAGATTGTAATGACCAAGCAGGGTTTTGAATAATGAAGGAGGGTAAGAGTTCCTCTTCACTGCTGCCAACACAAGACCAAAGTTGCTGGCTGTTATTCTCTTCCTGCGATATGCCATCCTGTTATAAATAAACACGCAGCAGTTAACCTCACAGCATTTTTAAAAAGCTATACAAAAGAAAGAGCTAGTCACTAATGACTTTTAGTACATCTGAAATCAATAGATCTTTGTGTCTCATTACCATAAGGCATTCTTAGTTTGCCCAACTGTGGCTCTCTCAATGGCTTCCTTCTGTTGTGGGCTCACAGCAAGGGATGAAAGCATATACAGCGCTTTGTCCTCTGCATCACCATAACTGGAGCTGGCCAATAGCCCATCAAAAGTTTTGATGTGATGGGATGGGTCAAAAGTCTGTCCCAAAAGATATAATTGAATCAGAAAAAGCAACAATTAGATCCATACAAGTCAACATTGTTCACTGACATACATATATGTTTGTTTACTCAGTATGAAATTTAAATGAAAGTGTGAACATGTTTGTCTGATTTGCAATGGTTTGCATTTATCAAACTAAATTTACCATCTAACTAGGGATATCTGCAACCTTTGTAACTGATTTAATGTGGTGTACATGTGAAGTCTCTGATAAGGCAGGACATGAAACAATAAAATACAAAACACAAGTCAAACCTGAGGCAATTCTGGAGCAATTATCCAACCCAGACCTGTAAAACGGTCAAGCTGTGCCAAAGATGACAATGCCCATTCTCTGTCCTCCTGGGTGACAGGTCGTTTAATTCCAGCTGAAATAATAGCATAAAAAGTTATGATGGTAACTGATATGGATTTAAGTGAGAATACCACCCCAGTAGCACCATTCATTTCCAACACCTTAAACCCAGGTTTAGATTTTAGTATGGAAATAAAACATAGGGTCATGGTTTTTCAATGATAACAAAACAGAAAGCATGACTGATATCTCCTAGTTACTCGAAGTACTAACCTTGTGATGTGGAAGGTGCAATCACAGACACTTTCTTTGATGTGATTTCCTCTGTTTTGGGTGTCGTGGGCCTCTTCCACATACACTGACATCTGTGCGAGTAAAGTTCTTCTCAGCCCAAATGAGGAGAGCTGCAACATGGTGGCACTTGGACCTCCCGATAGCACAAGAGCAAGTACTTGCCTTCACTTCCTGACCCTCAACGTGTACCTGAGTAAAATCATCTTTGCTAACTCTCACAAAAAACTCCTAACAATGGTAAAAGACAGAGAGCAACACTTTGTCTTGCACTAGGTGGTGCTAACAACTAGTTAAGTAACGTCCTAAGCAGTCTAATCTGTATTGGGCGAGTACCTTTCCAGAGTAAGTTGTCAACAAACCATAGGTACTTATTCTAACATAGCTAAGTACAATAGTTAACGTCACACTGGTAAAGTGGTCGACAGATGTTAGCGAGTTAACGCTAACGTACTAAAAACTTGTAACATCTGAACCATGAGAAATGTTCAATCTTTTTATGGTAAAGGGCGACAGCTAAACCATTGGACTAACAATTTGTTGTATGTATAAAAAAGTCGTAGAATTTTGGGCCGTCAGAGTCAGTACCTCACCTCAACCTCGTAAATTTTACTTTTCATTGAAGCCTGTACTTTCCCTTTAACACTTCCACCTGCCAGCACACTAACATTTACAACTCTGTTTGAGTTGTAGGAGTTAAGACCCTTTTTCACTGACTTTGGGATGTCAGCAAAATACGATGTCACCGTGAAAAAAGTGACCGGTTCCTTGGCTACCGCCATTGTGTTTACATTAAGTACAGCGGGTTGGACACGGAAGTGATGTCGTGACGTCACACTAGCCATCCCCATAGCGATAGCGGTCACAGCATATAGCGATAGCGGTCACAGCATATAGCGATAGCGGTCACAGCATAGCGATAGCGGTCACAGCATAGCGATAGCGGTCACAGCTTAGCGATAGCGGTCACAGAATAGAGTAGTCACGACGTCTGTCCCCTCCAAACCAGGCTTCGAAAAAATCCATCAACACGCAGCCTTTTTGGGGATTGTGCGCGCTCATCGCAGGAGCCTTTACGATCCGAAGGCCGCACCGGGACCTAGGGCGCCAAACCTCCTTTCATAAAATACTCAACTTCCTGTTTCTCGTCTCTCCAAATTGAAATGCAGGTATGTGAACTCTGAGCCAAAAAGCAGATGTATTTACTGTATTTGTACAATTGCATGAAGGCAAAAAAATGGAAGTTAAAGTTAAAGCAGAGTCGTCACGCGGTGCGTCATTCTCTCCGGGACACGCTGCAGTGAAAACACACATTTGATAATCGTGAAGGGTTTTTATGTGTTTGTAGCCTTTACTTTGTCATTTAGATATTAGGCTAATATAGTTAATGTAGCTAATGTAGCTAAGGTAGCTAATGGAGCTAATGCAGCTAATGCAGCTTCAGCCCGTCTGACCTTCATATAAGCTTTATACAAGGCTGGGTTTTTTTTGCGGCTCCAGACAGATGTTGTTTTTAGTTTTTTGGTCAAATACGGCTCTTTGAACCTTTTGAGTTGCCGATCCCTGGTATAAACAAACTGTAAAAAACGTGAAAAAACATGCCTGGGCCGCTAAGAAGGAAAAAATGCCTGGGCCGTTTTTTTGTCCCAGTGGCAACAGAGCATGTTATTATTAGAACTTGTGAACAATACAATTTTTCACTATACATATTCAATTTGAAGCAAAAATTATATACATACATACAATTATATATATTACTATACATGAGCAGCATTTATATATATTAAATAAATGCATGTTATATATTATTTTTATTTCAATGCTATATGCAACATTCACAATCGATACACGTCATACAGAAATGGAATCAGGAAATACATTTGAAGCATGTTTTGTATACTGTATAAGAGAGAAGACATATATTGGGACATTTTTGTTTTGTTCAGGTGCAGATTCTGTGACAGAGCTCTTTTGCTGAAGCTGGAGCTCCATCACACAGCGTTATCTGCTTTACTCAGGTGGCTGCAGTGTGGTCAGATTATCCATAAGCGTCTTTGTCCTGCAGATTGTGTCCCAAAACTATCATAACATGTTTAAATATTGGCATTACAAAACACTGACAAAACTATTCCAACTATTTTTCAACCAGTTATATGTATTGTATAATGAAGAATACACCTCGTCCCTGAGGTGCAAGAGCCTTTCAGTGCATTCTCTTGAGCATGGTAGATCGACAGATAAGACCTCATTGTGTGTGTGTGCGTGTGCGTGTGCGTGTGCGTGTGTGTGCGTGTGTGTGTGTGTGTGCGTATGACAGATTGATTCATTATATGTGTGATATACAGTATGTAGTTGTGTTAACTTGTGTTTAACCTACTGTCTCATGTCCCACTGTCCTTCTTGTTCCTGTCGGAGGTCAGTCGATGTAAATTATCCTAAACTCTCGTACAATGCATTGAATGGAAACATTTATGCTCTTTTTGTACATGATACTGTATCTTAGTAAATAAATGCGTTATAGATTGGCCCCATAACCGTCTACGACACACGTCATAGTGATCGATTCCTTATTTTGAACACATGCACAATATCCAACATGTCTTTAACATGTCTTGTTAAAGCAAAACCATAAAATAAAAAATAAAACATTGGATTGATCTATAATTATCTTTGAAAGCTCTACACAAAATTAATACAAACATTGGTTTCATTTGGGAAAAAAGAATTGTGGCAGTAAACGAGGGAGGTGCACCTGTTGTTTGTAGACAGCATGACGCACACCAAAGACTGAGCCACCTGCCATCATCAGGAAAAAAAATATTAGAATTCTTTTATTTCCTATTTTAGTTGTTGTTTTCCACTCTCCTATGCTTTTTAATGTATTTTTGATGCGGTTCTGACCAGTTTTCATTTTTTGAGTGAAAATTGCGGAAATCCTAGTTTTCCCATTCAAAGAGACGAGAGAGCAGACTAACCCCAGATCGCTCGCTCCCTCACAGTGGACTGTGTCAGTGCCCTCAGCTCGTGCTGGTTTCATATCGCTGTCTGTTTCTAATATCCTGCTTTGAAAACATTTGTTATACTTGTTGTAGTGTTTAGTAATGTATTATATGTGTTTATGTTATATTTATATTTAGTTTAAGTCTTTTGATTGGAGAGAAAGACACAAGGAAAAGTCTAGACTTGAGGTAGGCAGTATCTGTGCCTCACCAATGGGGGCGATAGAGAGCCTGAAGTTCATACCCAGGTTGCCAATAATCGGTCCAAGGTGCTATTTATTTTACTGGAAAACTGATGACTTGATTAAAACTAAGATTTCTTTCTAAACTGGAATTTCAATCAAAAGCAAGAAATAATATATCTGCCGCACTTATGGGGTTTGTTTTAAGTAGTGGGCGATTTTAGTCATTTTCAATCTCTGTGTTTTATGTTGAAAATTGACCAGATTCTTTAACTTTTCTTGACATCCCTCCAAGCTTGTGATCACTCGCAGATCGCAAAATAGTGCCTTCCCAAAAAACCCAAATATGAACACTGCAACTTGTTTATGTTTTTTTTGTTTTCATGTTCCTCACGTCTCTCTCTCCTCACGTCTCCCTCTCCTCGCATCTCACCATCCTCCTCACGTCTCTCCCTCTTCATGTCTCTCCCTCCTTGTGCACATTACAAAACTTTTTTCACACTGACAGCCCCTTCTGGACCAGTTTGGAGACCCCTGATCTACACTTCCACAAAGTGAAAGCTATAAAATGTGTCAAACCAACAGGACTTTTATCTTTGCCATATGACATGTGCTCCTGGGCAATGGCTGCTTCCTGTTTTGAATGCTGGTGTTACTTCGAGTTGGCTGTATTTACTGTAACTCTTTTACTGGGCCTCAGTCTATGCACTGATTTGGAAAGTTAAAGGACATTAATCATTCTCTGCTTTTCTGTTGGGGTAATTTAACACAATTGTAAAGTCATAATATAACATCTATCTCTCTGCTCTGTATCTACTGTATGCTCTCGATTATTCTACAAAGTACTGTGGAGCTAAAGTAAGTTGTAAGTACAGTATGTAGAAAACCTGGGTATTCTGTGAGGACAGTGTGCATTTTCACTGTTGCTCAGCCATTTATTGTATTAGTTTTTTCACACAATAAGTGGCTAGTTTTTCTCCTGCCGCTGAACATGAGCACAGCCTCTCCTCTCTGAACACTTGATTGAAACACTTGTCTGAGCTGAGGGGAGACGTGGACCAAGGGCAGCGAATTTTAAGAACTGTAATCATCTCACATTTACAATCGCACAATCTGCACAACTTAAATCATGTGTTTTTGTTCTAAATATAAAAAGAAAACCATTTGATATTCTTCAGTATGAAGTTTGATTGATAATAGGGGGCCTGGAGCATTTGTTTGATCCATACAGGGGGCAGTATTGCTACAGACTGTGGGAGCTTGAGATTGTGGATTTGTGAGAAACTTCCCGATGGAAAGTTTTCCCCCCAACACTTAAGTCAAACTACATGACCTCTAAAAGCACCCATCAACAACTAAATTCCCAAAGTAAGCATTTTTACCCACCAGCTTTAGTGCTCTTAAAACCATTGCAACCTCCATCTAGCTTGACTACTCTAAAAACCCAATCATTAATTTACAAGAGCATAGATAAAAGTTGTGTTTTGTATCATATCCCCTCATACATATTTCATACCAAGCAATCGGAGGCCAGGGCAAGCGCTTCTCCCTCTGGACACGTGGAAGCCCTTCAGTCCATTAAAGAATGGAGCCCCATATTTGTATTTGAGGAAAAGCATGCGAGGCTTTAGGGCTAGAGAGATAAGGGCACTTCCATCTGAAACCGCGAAACGAGGAAGGGCTGATATGGAGGACAGATGGAGGGAGATAAGCAGAGACGGATGGAGAAGTGAATATTCCTCTGGTAGAAATTGTCACATTACACGGCTGGTTAGACCCCACGGCCCCCACAGGCATTTAGAGTGGAACTGTACACACTCAAGTGACTCTAATATACACCAGGGGTATTAGAAGTGCTTAAGAGGACAAGACTTAGTAAATAT